CTAATCATAATCGTACACTTCTATTACAAAATTATACACCATTTTACAAATTGTATATTTTAAAACACAGTAAATTCGTCGTCAAACGGGAGGGTCACCAAAACACTCGATTTATTTCGAAAAACAAACATTTTTCTAATTATCTTCCATAAATGTCAAATACCAATGAAATCAATCATTTAAAAATCTAACAAACATCCTGCTTAATACGATAATATTGATTCGATACAAACACTGAACTTTAAGCCAGCACAATTATTAAAATCCTCAGTGAAGAATCCGACAAAACACCGATTGAGAAAAAAAAATGAAAAGATAGAAAAAGAAAAATCAAATGAAACTAGAGATACAGAAAAATAATAGAAATACAAAAATGCACAATTAGTGTAACACAATTTCGCACACATCCTATTTTAAGCACACGCACACGCACACGCATACACAGATACGCATAAACGAGTATAGAGCGCCCTCTCGAAGACAAGGGTGAAGGATAAAAGGGGTGAAAGGGAGAGAGCAATCGACGTGCGTGTAAACAGGGGTGAGAAGAAGACTTAAAGCAAGACAGAGAAAGAGAGAGAAAGAAAGAATGAAAGAGAGAAAACGATATAGAAAGGTAATGTAATCGTAGATAAAACGTTATGCACTGAAGTTTCACATTAGTCCTCTTCTTGAAGAAGATGTTGGTAGTGATCCAATGATCGGAAAAATACGATCTTCTTGGTGGTAGCAGAGCACGAAAACGAAATAAGAAGCCAAGCGTTAGCCGACGTTGACGAGAAGGACAAGAGGGTAGCGCACAGCACGCGCCCTGGGAAAGGAAGGAAGGACGAGTGTAGAGCGCGCGTGAGGAGAGAACGAAGCGTAGCGAGTAAAGAGGAGGATGAGGAGGAGGAGGAGGTGGGGGAGGTGTGGGAGGAAGAGTTGGAGGAGGAGGTGGAGGAGGTAGAGGTAGAAATGGTGAAGGGGAGAGAGAGAAATAGAAAGAGAGAGAGTTAGTGAGAGTGGTTCACGGAGTCGGCTGCGAGGAGAACGAGAGTAAGTGGTGGGGGTAGGAACGAAGGAGGTGGAGGCGTGGCGACGAGTGTCCGCGCCCACGGAGGGGAAAAAAGCCGAGCTCCGCACCTACCAAATCAGGAGGAGTGGGGATAGGAAAGAAGTCTGGTAGGGGACGATTTATCCATTCTATTCTGCTTTTACTCTTTATCCCTCCTTTTGGGGATGCTGTACTGTTGGACATGGTGCTAGTCAACGAGAAATATCATCCTCTTTTCTGACTAGCAAGCTAGCTAGCTAGCTAGCTAGCTCGATAACTTCCTATCTCTTTCAACTACGCGTTTTATCTTTCATATTTGCTCATACTCTTACTCCGTACACACTTTTATACACATGCATGTTTGTGCCTATGTGCGTATGTAACTCTGTATGTTTTCGTAAACGTAGGATAAGTCCAGCGGTATAAAAAAGAAGTGAGTGAGAGGACTCCGATCTCCTTCCCCTACCCCACTATCATACACTCCAAACGATACGTCCTCCCCCTTATTCTCTTTTACAGGCTGCCGCCCCCTTTTCCCGCCTCTTTCCCTCCAACCAACTTTTAGCTGAAAGAACTGCGCAAAACGCACTTTCGCTACTCGACGCGCGCGAACCCAAGTTTCTTCCTTTCTCGTTCTCTCACTACGTCCACGAGGATAACCGTCGGTCTTCACTTTACGTCCTGAGTTATGGGATTAAACTCTATAGATTTCAACCGAAATTGCTTATAAAGATTTTTTTAATATTCACATCATTTCGCGCGAATAGATTTTTAATGATAACACTGTTATCGTCATCATTTCAGTTACTCTTAAACGTATTTTATGTCGAAGGATTAAGTGTTTGAAAAGAAAAGAAAAGAGAAGTAAAAAAAAATTTAGGCACAGTGAAGAAAAGAGAAAAAGAGAAGTTCGTTGAACGCTATAGTAAGAGTGAGACCAAAAGAGGTGGTACAGAACAGTGAGAGAGAGAGAGAGAAAAAGATTGTGTAGAGTCGAGTGTCGCGCGTTGTGCGTGAACGCGCGTTTGGGGAGTGGGTGAGCCGACGAAGTTTTGGGTGGGGGGTTACAAAGTAGTGACGATCTCTTTGAAAAGGAAAGAGCGAACTGGAAGGAGTGTGAGCAAGTGAAGTGCAAGAAGGTGGAAGAGGGGGAGGGAGACTGAGTGAATAGTGGAGGAAGAATGGAAGTAATGGTGGGGGAATGGATCGTAGAAGGAATGGTGGGGGCAGAGAACAAACTACCGGGAAGAAGTCAGCGGCAAGTAAAGCAGCGCCGCCGAGGCTAAACTTTCGGATCTATCGAACTAAAATTGTCGTGTAGTAGCTCTCTCTCTCTCTTTCTCTTTCTCTCACTCATTCCCCAGGTCTGGGGCTCTAGCCTGGTAAAGCCCCTATCGTCGCGTCCCCTTGCGACAAGCAAGCAGCAAGCATCCCCACTACTTTTAGTAGGAGTCGGCACATTCAGTTGAACGAAGAGGGAAGAAAGTGTGAGAGACTCTACGGTGGGGCGAAAACGTCACGAGGCGCGAGAAAGATAGATGAAGAAGAGAGAAAGAGATCGAGAAGGAGGCTCGGCTGTAGCAGCAGACCTAGTTGGAGTGGGGGATAGAGGAAACAGGGAGAGAGTGTACGTTGCTGGCCAGACTCAGCATATTTTATTGTCGCGTTTGCCAACGCTCCTGCTGTTGCTGCTGCTGTTGCCGCTGCTCCTGCTGTTGTTGTTGTTGTTGTTGTTGTTGGTGGTGGTGGTGGTGGTGGTGGTGGTGGTAGTTTTGCTGCTGCAGTTGTCGTTGCTATTTCTCTTGATATTCCTGTTAACCGGCAACAAATTCGTAGTTGTTCATATACGCGACGCGATCAAAAGAAAGAACGTTCGATCAACCCCAAGAAAGGAGAACAGGAGTACTGAAATCCTACTAATAGTATTAATACTAGCAGTAGTAATAGTAGCAGTAGTATTATTATTACTAATAGTAGTAGTAGTAGTAGTAGTAGTATGTTGGAGAAGTGGAGAGAAGAGAGAAGGAAGAACAACACGCACGATATCCAGTCTAACTAGATACGAAGATTCGCGTGGCTGCTACCAACGGAGGTGGCACCTGTCCCCCACCACAGCACACTGGCAGGGCCTGCCCTGTCCTGCCCTGCCATGCCCTGACCCTGCCCTGGACCCACCCACCCAACTCGAGTACGAAGTTAAGCCGACTCCCAGCTTCAATTTTTACCCTTCCTTTTTTTTCCGAAACTAACGCAGAAGGAAAAGAGAAGAGGAGGCATCGAGTTGAAGGGATTGATCGTCATTAATCGTTCGTGTGTACATGTGCGTGCGTGCGTGCGTGTGTGTGCGAGTGTATGTTATCCTTATCTAATTCCTCAATCAAGGAATCATCTTGACGAGCCTGGAATCATCTAAAACAGTGATTTAATAGAAGATCGAAGAAATCCAAGTGACATTTAACTTCCCCACTATAAAGTCACCCTTTTAGCCAACCCTTGTACGCGTGTCAGGAACGAAAGGGAGTAACTTTTCACAAGCAGCAGGGTCGTCAGACGTGTCGACGAACGGAAAGGGAAGATGAAAAGAGAAAGAGAATAACAGAGAAAGAGAGAAAGAGTGAGAGAGTGAGTGAGCAAGCAAGCAAGCAAGAGAGTGAGGGGAAGGAATCCCACAGCCGGCAGGCAGGCAGGCAGGCAGGCAGGCAGAGCGCCGGCACCCACCACCAGTTACTACGCTCTCTCTTTCTCACATCGTGCTCGTACGCGAGCGAGCGCGCACCGCCGAGGACCCACGTGTTGTGTTGTGTCGTGTGTCGTGCGTACTATTTACACGTACGTTTCTTTAATTAAAAATCGACAGTTCCTCGAAACAAATTCGTTCAACCGTACTCTATCCGTACTACTCGTACGCAAAACAAGGACGAAATAAAAGTTTATTAATAATAATAAAAAAAAAAAAAAAACAGGAATAAAGTAATAAAAAAAAGAAACCCCTAATATATGTAAAATAAGATTAACGCGTTAGCAAGAAGAGGTGTTAGAATAAGAAGAAGAAGAAGAAGGAAAGAGGGGTAGAGACAATATTTAGTGCGAGAACGAAAGAAAGAAACCAAGAAATAGGAAAAAAAACGAAAGGAAAGAAGGAAGGAAGGAAGATAAAGGTATAGAGGAGAGCGCAGCTCTAGCAGATACGCGCAGGACAAGAAGGATTTGAGGAAAGGTGGTAAAAGAATTGGTGCGCGCGCGATTCGTTTTCCCTCTCTCTCGAACCTTTTCTCCCTACCAAGTATCGCGAGCCGTCCCTCTCGCTCTCGCTCCTCCCCCTCCGCGCCTCGCCCCTCCTCCCGCTGGGCAACCGGCCGTCCCGTACTTGTTCTCTCTCTCTCTCTCTCTCTATCAAAAGCTTGCTTTCTTCGTTCCTCTGAGGAGACTAGTGTACCGGTGACGGTACCACCGCCTCCACCACCGCCGCTGTTGCCACTGCTGCCACGGCGCTCTCTTTCTCTCTCTTTCTCTTTCTCTCTTCTTTCTTTCTCGTATACCCACCGCCTTCCTATCCACCAAGCGGAGGACTGGATTCCGTCGAAAAGAAACGACGATTCGGAGGATAGTCGCGACCGATCATAGCTGGCGCGTCGATCGGATCAACGACGTGCGCTGGGCAGCAGCCTCGTTGCTAGCACCAGCCCGCGCGCGAGAATTGCTTGCTTGCTTGCTTGCTTGCTTATTTGATAGCTTGCTAGCTCGCTTGCTCGCTAGCTTTCCTAGCTCTTGTTTCCTTCATCGGGAACATTATTTTGTATTCTTCTAACTACGAATCTGAGTTATAATCGTCATCGTCAAAGGACAACTTCATCGTTGTCTTCATCGCCCATCCCTAAAAGCTCCAGGGCTCTATCATCTCTTGTGCTACTACTACCATTTGCGCTGTTATTATTATTATTATTATTATTGTTGTTGTTGTTGTTGTTATTATTATTATTATTATTATTATTATATCTTAATACTTCACAACACCCACTATAATATAATTCTACCAAAACCTCGCGCGCTTCGACGACACTCTCATCGTGTTAAACTACTGTACGTGTGTGTGTGCGCGCGCGCGCGCGCTTCACGCTGCTGACCGACGACTGTTCGTCACTTCATTCTTTTGGACTCTATTGGAATTGACGTTTTTCAACACTGTGATCGAAGAAGGATTTAACATTAAATCATCGTTCTTCGTTTTTTAAATCCTCATTCTAATCCCCCCTCACATCAATCTATCCGATTGGGGTTTTTATATTCTTCAGTATTTAAAAATCAACGGATCGAGTTTTGTTTGTGTGAAGAAGTTGTGAGAAGAAAAGTACTGTACGCGACGTCCGACGGATTCGTTCGTTTTGATAAGTGTACCGATTTATGTCATCGACAGTTCTCTGGGATTTTTCTTTTGGTTTTTATTTCACTTGGGTGAACTGATAATCGTAGAAGGGGAGAAAAAACTGAATAAGAAGTTGATGAAGTTGAGTGTCGAGGTTGGAGTAAAATTGAAGACTTGTTGGATTGTTGCTGGTGTTTCTGCTGCTGCTGTTGCTGTTTGTGTGCTGAGATGAAAGAAGATTAAGAAACAGAGAAGAAGAAAAATATTGTAATATCTTTCTCTCTCTCTTTCTTTTTTATCTATCTTACTCCCTCTCTTTAACACGCTCGATCCAATAGTCTGGATCCTCCGGTGTGTCTCTGCGTGTGACAGTGAGAGTGCATCTGTCGGGAGGGCGCCTTCAGGGCCGAGTATAGTCATCATCCTCGTGTGCACTATAATCTTAATTAAAACGTGCGTGTAATCAACTAAATATATATATATCGTTCACGTTTAATATTAAATATTTCGATTTGTTATCATCGAAAGTAAGTAACAAAGAAACAGTTCGACGTAAAACAGTGACACTGGTTAAACTTTTTTTGTGATACTTCGAAAAAAGAAAGAAGAAGAAGAATTGGAACAAAAAGAATATTATTAGTGTTTTGCGGATTTCGAAAAAGTGAGAAATAAAAGCTCGTGAAAAAATAAAAGACCGAATGAAGTAGTGTGTCCCTGAGTTTAAAAATGATGATCGCGTAGCGGCGCCCGATTATCACGGCCCTGAGCGGCCGACACATCATGTCACAGTTCTCCTTCCGAGGATCGCCAAATCTACAGGTGAGTCCTCGTTATTAGAAATATAATTTGAATATTCTCTATCAAGTAAATTTATTCAATTGTTTGGCCAAAAATACATCAGCATCCTCTTTTCTGTTTACTCTATTGTTTCTTTTTCACGTTAAATTCATATTCGTGACGATTATATATATAAATTAATCATCTGGCAATAAATATTTTCAATAAAATTAAATCCTAACGCGTATAGATTAGTAAGAAATAAAGGTTTACTTACTCCAGATTACTCGGCAACGGTTACTTTTAAATCATCGTCACGTACGATTTGCGACGGGGGTTAAAGTTCAACGAACGTGATCGATGTGCCGGGTAATTTAATGACGTATTCGATCAATCATTTTCGTAGTATTAGAAAAGAGTTTACCGAACTGTATCGCTTAATAACAAACGCATATGACCGAAAAAAAACTTATTATTTTCAATAAGTTCAAAAAAAGAAATATCCATAATAAACAAGTATAAAAATGTAACAAATATTCTTCTTTATCGTTTAAAATACATATCGGAATAAAAACGAACTGACACGATCAATCGGTTCAAAGTTTCTCATTTCCCACGAAGTAAATCCAAAGTGAAATGCCGGCGGATGTAAAGTTTATCGTGAAATATCCTAAGATACACATATAATCGTAGAAACGAGTTCTGTGTCTCTAAGAAGTTCCAAGAAATCTCGTTGCTAGATGAAATGAGTTAGAATGATTTTCTTGGCGGAAGTTGGACACGAATCGCGGTATCGTTTGTCGCGTAACTCGTGCACATAACTAACAACTAAGAGTGTAAAAGAGAAAGAGAGAGAGAGAAAATGTAAGGGAATGAGAGAGAGTGAGAGAGAGTTAGGTAGAGGTGTGCCGTTAATTTCGGTTTTGTAGCCGCATCGGGTAATTTGTAGCGTAGGGTCTTGTCCGTAGTGTAAAATGAATAGCCGTTGGCAAGCCTGAGAGGTTCGGGTACCACGTGTCCTGACACGTTGCATATAGGTATACTCACCCCTCTCATTCTCTCTCACTCTCTCTCACTTACTCTCAGCACATACTCCGACTCGACGTGCACCTAACGCCGGAGCTGAGAACATGTGTTGCCACGCCTAAAGCAATGCTCGCGAAATGATCGAGGAGCTTTAGCTCGTCCTACGAATAATTATCTCGTCTTGAACCAATGACTACTAGTTTACTACTATCTTTTTAGTCATACTTCTATTTCCTTCGTTTAAATTTAATCGACGGGTTGTTCAAATCATCACCAGAATTCTTTCAATCGAATCCAATAACATTTTCGTAACCATTTTTGTATATTTTTCTGATGCTGATTTGTTCAGTGAACAGAATATGTGTAGGGATATTGAATTCATGAGAATGAGACTGCTGTATCTGAATTTATCTTGTTATCAATTATGCGAAAAGCTAATAAAGGATTTTGGTTCATCCCCATTGAAATGGTTTGCTTATCTAAAAAATAATGATCAACTAAAGTTGTGTCAGGATATTTTGGATATTTTATGCACTGTAAGAACAACTGGATTATTTGGGGTAACCAGTTTGTTCATTATTATCCTAAAGTTTTTAGATATATTTTTGTTTCTAATATCAAATTATATAAAATCAAATACATTTATATATATTAAGATTATTTATTGATGATATTCAAACTCGTTTTAATAAAAATGCACTGCGAACAGGGTTATATTATTTATTTCACGGGAAAAAATGATGCTGTTCATTCGAATTCTTTTCGGTTATGCGAAGAAAAGTATTTTCTTGATTCCCATTAGGATGGTTTATTATATTCTAATAATATTTAGCTAAAATTATGCTAACTTTTTAATATTTTACATACCCCAATAAAATTCGAATTACTTGTGGTACCTTGTTTGCTTTTTACTATTGAAATATTTGTGTTATTTCAAACTTGTAACATCAAATTTAAGTAATACATATACTTTTAATAACAGAAGTATATAAAAACAATTTTAGATCATTTATAATAGCAAACTTATTTCAAAACAGACGTACGATGATCGAAAAACAGAAATATTGCATTTAAAAGATTAATTTTATGCATCCTAACTCATTTCAATTGAAATGAAAAATAAAAATTACTTCCAGTACCATTGAAACATTATTTTAAAATACAATTAAGCAATAAATTTATCTAACTTTTTATATATCAATAGAAAAAATAAATCATTTGTAATTTCACATAAGCTCAGACATATTTCATATTAAATGTAACACTTGTAATATATAAAATCCTAATAAAAACTTATAACGTTATCATAGAAATTCAATAATTCAATTATTTGTCAATCTTAACCATTAATTTAAATCATTAATTCAATGAATATCTTTTTTGTAGTGTTTACCAATGATCTAAAATAATAGATAAGAAAGTGCTTTTACTGATCATACGTTGTATTAGTAATATCGATACGATAAGATGCGATAATGGAAAAGTAAGAAATTGTATGTACTCAAAAAAAATTTACAAAGAATACTCTTTTTTTCGCATTTTTATTCGATAGCATCGTCATATTGTTCGTAAATAATAATCAAATATATAAAACATCTGCAATATATATTATTGTTTCGAAAATGGATGAAATGATTTTTAACTCGTGTTTTAATATAAACGTACGGTTTATAACGATTTGTTATCCGAACGTGAACGATTCACTTGCTTGTAACAACAACACCCAACTCTCTAACACCCGTCTCGCTTCGACGACTTTTATGCGATGAGATTTGTTGAGACAAATTGTACTTACTATGAGAATGATAATATTGACGATAACGTTTTATAATCAAATTAGATGACGATGGCTGCTTTCCTACAATTTTATTATTTCTCAGTTACATGTGTCAACTATTTTCGAGAAAGATTATACAAATAATTGTTTTAGTTTTGATATGAAAATGTTTTCGTTATTGTTTCTTACAACGAACAAATAATAATAATAATAATTAATAAATAGGTATCGTAGGGAATTTGAATATTCAAAAGAACTAGAACTTCGTTATGATTAATTGGACGTTCTAGTTCTAGTTCTACTATACCTATTTATTAATAATTTTATTTTGGGACTAGAGAAACATATTAATTGAATAATAATAATATTTTAAGTATAATTATGACACAAATTTACTTTCACCAATTAATTTGATCAAATATTACGCTGAGATACTTTTCATTCAATTTATATAAATGTAAGAAAATTTATATCGTATTTAATATGAAGTTTTGTGAATTTAATTGAAATAATTATTAGGACGCGTTCTTTTTATTCTCTACTATACGTTCGTGTTTCTCTTAATACACGGTGCATATTTTTGGAACACACACTTTCTACGATATACCAAATGTCTAACTTAGTTTCCTCGTTGAGCTTGAGCTTGACGTATCGGAGAATTACTTTGAACAACGCGTTCCTGGAGAAAAGCGTCTTCTTCTTTTCCTCTTTCTCTCTCGAGTCGAGTTATGGCCACTCGCTTGTCTCTTATATTTATGATCCCGTTGAGATTACAGGAAAGCGCGATTCGAATCAACATTGTTTGTAAATTTGTACGACTTTGTGTGAATAAAAACCTTTACAATTATTAATCCAGTATAATAATATCATATTACGAAATTCTATAATACATTTGATATTTAATGAATAGTTAAATGTTCGTTTTAAATTTATAATTTTTATTATCATGAAAAAGTATCGTTAAATATATTTTTTTTAATATTAAATTATATCTATTTATATATGTATATGATTGTTAATGGATGATAAATGATGTAGGGGTTAATATTATTAAAAATAAATCTAATGTTTATTTTAATAAAAATTTACTACTTGATTTTAATTATTTTTTGATGCTAAATTTGTACAACTCTTTTTATGAATATAAATCTTTTATTTATAAATTAAAATATATATTACAAATTATTATTTGATAATTATCATACAAAATATCGTTAATTATATTTCTGTAATTAGTTAGAAATTAAAAATACTTTATAAAAAGATGTTATACATTTATATAAAATATTAATTCTAATTCGATGTAGAAAATCCGAACAAAGAGAAAAATTCTAACTCCAATAAGATCGTATTTATTCGAAATATTACATCTGACTACCTTTTTCACATTTGTCCGCGTCTACATTTTTTATCGTAGCAAATTTACGTATTGAAAATCATGTTGACAGCTTGAATGGCCACGTTCAAGTTCTCTCGGATACATATGTATGGCTGACATCGTTTTTAGCAGGTTTGATCCTTAATCGATTCATATTTTGGTTATTCGGCATTTATCTACCGTCGATATGGTAATATGCTTCGAACGTTTGTTGCGTTCGAACGTTATTTGACCGTTAATTAACGTTATCAAGTTCGATCTACATCAACGTTGACGTGTCTCTTAAATCATTTTCATTTTAAAGATGTATTAACGATATCATTTCTTATTACTTAATCGTAATTATCATTTTAAAATAAAAAAAATAATAATTACAAAATTAATTGTATTGAGAAAAAATATTAAACAATGTGAAAAAATAAATGAAGAATTATTATCAATTAAATGAAGAAACCTACAAACAAATTGAATATAAAGAAAATGTATAATAATAATAATAATATAACAATAATTTAAATATAACAACTGGATATTACGTGTCAAAATAATGCAACACGGGGTTTTTTCTATTTATGTAAATAATTTTAGATTTACGTATCTTTTTCGTATTTTTCTTCTTCTGGTTAGTTACCCAAGGTCATCATAACATTAACCATTAAATTACACCATTTGTCTTTAAACAAGATACTTTGACTCTTTCTGTCTTAATGACACGTAATTAAAAAGTATACACAAAATGGTAGAAAAAAAATAAAATTCGCTTGGTCACGAAATTTAATGAACGCAAGTGTTACCTATTGTTATTTATTTTTTTATTTTTCTTAATAATTTTTCTTAACTCATGTTCATTCGAAATTGATA